CTTCAAAATATGAACGCGCCGGGTATATCCTCGTTGAACTCACCTTACTCCGCTATGCCGTCGTTCAGCAGCATCAACTCACACCCCGGTTTGAACGGATACGGAACCATGTCTGGTCTGCCTTCAAGCATGGGCTCTTTAACGATGGGATCGTCGATGTCGATGAACTCTTCCGCCCTCAGTCCCCTCAGTCGATCCCAGATGGCCATGTCTGGGGCCGCCTCACCGACCAGCAACATGGGGTCTTCGTCGGCTTCCATTGCCTCTCGAAGAACGGAAAAAACGTACAGGTATGAAGTAGATTCAGACCGTGAGACATGTTAACGGGCATCAAAGAATTTCAGGAGGAACTACACCCATGCAAAACCACCGTACAGCTACATCTCGTTAATAACCATGGCGATACAGCAGTCGACGACGAAGATGTTAACTCTAAGCGAAATCTATCAGTTTATCATGGACCTGTTTCCTTATTATCGGCAGAACCAGCAGCGATGGCAAAACAGTATTCGCCATAGCCTTTCCTTCAACGATTGCTTTGTAAAGGTGCCTCGAACTCCTGATAAACCCGGCAAGGGAAGCTTCTGGACTTTGCATCCCGACTGTGGCAACATGTTTGAAAACGGCTGTTACCTGAGACGTCAGAAAAGGTTCAAATGTGAACGTCGTGATGGAAGTCGGTCAGGCAGGTCAGCAAAACAAGAGTTTGAAGAACTTGACCTCTCCCCTCAAAATCAGTCAGATTCTCCTCCCATCCAGTCTGACATGCTGGACGATCAGAAAGCACAGGTACTACCGTTGTACATAATATAAGCATCATATGACTTATGCATTTGTAGATGAACAGCCATGAATGTCACAGTGTGATTATGAGTCCAAATCTCGAGCAGAGCAATCCACAGCAGGTGCCCTCAGGTATTATGAAAACATCACCCCATGGAATTCCAAGCGGCGGCATCTCAGATTCATCAGTGAACGACGCTGACTCGAATATCAGTCAGGAAGAGCCTTCATCACATATCGACGTCAACACTTTGCAGACGACCAACAAAACCCAAGTGCCAAACAGTCCTTCACAAGGAACGACCATCTGGAGCAACCCAAGAGATGGCATGGTGAACA